CACAAACTTTAAATGTGTTGCCAAGTTATATTTTAACAATTATAAGTTTAGAATACCTCGAGATATAAAGAGGATAACTTGAACAAGAATGTCGAGGGGATATGTACTAAATTTGTTTTGAAGACGATGGTGACTGCATGCAGAACTTTCACGAAACAGTTATATTTCTAGCTGAAAACTCATTTGTTTGGCTATCATTTTTGCCAGCGACACATGCTGAACTTCATTAGATGATGACGATATGTGGAATTTAACGTCCCAAAACCACCATATGATTATGAGAGACGCCGTGTTCGAGGGCTCCGGAAATTTTGACCACCTGGGGCTCTTTAACGTTCGTCCAATTCTGAGCACACGGGCCTACACCATTTCCGCCTACATCGGCAATGCAGCCGCCGCAGCCGGGATACGAACCCAACTTCTATGGATGAATCATCTGAATAGCTATATATAGAGGTGTCCATACAACCCCATGTTTCACCTTATAAGGATGCTTATAACCTTATATATAGATGTATAGTATATAGATATATAGATGATAGCCATATATAGATGATGGCCATATATGGCCATATACAGCAACACCCAGATATGGGTATTTAATTGATTAGTTATATCACACTCTAAACAAAGAACGAGATAAAGAGTGTCTTTTTGTCCCACAACAATAATCGTCATCTATATTGCGTTCCATCTTTGCGCTATCGCAACGCGCCCGGTACAATCCGGTCACGATCGACATGCCCATTATCAGAGCTATATTGCATCCTCGATAAGAAAGTGGCCAGCACCGAGTTTCCAAGAAAGGAAGCGCACGCAAGCCTCATGACGATTATTGTTATGGGGCAAAAAGACACCCTTTTTACTCGATATTTTTTAGAGTGCACGTCGTATAATGCCCATATAAGGCTACATCTGAAATTGGGCATATAAGGTTATATAAGGCCCATATACGGGGATTCCGTATAAAGCCTGATATGACCAATTACTGTTGTAGCCTATTATGAAGATTTTTATATAAGTTCATATATGAGATATTTGTAAGAGTCTAGTTGTTACACACTATTTAGGGACCCCATTCTTGGTTGATTTATTTCCACTCATTCTTGCTGGCCACTTCTTTGAAACCCACAGTAATTTTATGTCACCATCTCCACTAAATACAAGTTGCCTTCGATAGCATATTTGTATGCTTGGTCAAAAACTATTGGGGCTCGTTTTCACCAAAGGCGGGACGGCAAGAGCGGCGAGGTGGCGACGCGGGAAGCAGGCGAAACCTCCTGTCCCGGCAGCGAAAGCGAGAAAAAAACCAGGCGGCAAGGCCGATCGCTCTCGGAGTTTTTGCCGCCTGCCGAGGCTCGCCACTTTGCCGCAGCAAATCAGAACGCCACGCAGCGGAGGCGCGGTTGTGGCGCGGGTGTACGTTCGGAAAAAGCACTGGCACGTCATAGTGGTACGTGCACAAAATCGCGAGATGCTCGCCTGTTCTGCCGCACGGCCAGAAGAGGGACGCATGCGATCTGAACAGGTTCACGCACTCGCCGCCTCCCTGCTTCGGAAATCCCGCTTTGCCGCGCCGCTTCCCGTGTGAATGAGGCTTAAGTGTATGATATCAAGATGTCTTTTTCTACGTTTTTTCTTATATTTCCGAAAAAGTTTCACCTTAAGCAAGACCACATAATAGAAAAACTTTTTCACTAGCGTGTCTTTTCAAGCATGTGCTTTACCATGTAATGGCTGAAGTAAACTACATATATGCCACCATCGTTTTGCAATGAATATCACTAGAAAGTAGCTCTGTCTGAGCTAGCACTCAATTACCTTGTCTGGTTGCACTTAAAAGATTTATTATATCACTTTTCGAACCAGTTCGGACCCAGATTCTTGTTCCACACATTTATATGCCTGCCAATCTGGGTACCACAAAGCCAAAAAGCAAAAGAGAGGGGGAAAATAAAAAGTAGCATATGCGTTCCTTCGGGTGGATGCAGTAATGTACATGCAGGCAGTAACGATGTCGACTAAACTTTTGAGATGTTAGTTTTTGTACAGATGCACGCAGTTATACCGCACGTGCAACAAAGCGACATAATTTGCTGTATTCACATGTTAGCAAACATCCCCTTCTTAATCTTAGTGCGTTCTTTCGCACAGCATGAGCGTGCTATGGCGAACACAAAGGATCAGGGCTAAAAATTTTGAATCCTCTCTCATTTGTTGTTTTTTTACGCAGCGAGGGTGATATTTACGGCGATTCGTCGCCGCGCACGTACCGTAGTTCTGTGACGTTCACGAGTCTCGCGGGGAAATTGGGAATTTTCAGGCATGTACTTCCGTTCTTCGTTGTTCGCAAACATGACAGCTTACCTTTTGAGAAATAGCACCAAATCCAGAAGCGTACACCTTGTAGATCCCAGCGTTCACTTCTTTGAATGCTTGATCGGAAACACTCAGCTTACTGCGTGCGCAAGCGCCAACGCAAGCTGTTGACAGAGGAGACGCACTGTGCCACTGCGAAGTCACTGTTTCGTACTTGCCGATGCGTCAGAGATTCGAAAATTACATTGACACCTACTATATCTTCTGTATGCGCAAACTATGTCAATGTGGAGGCCATAGAAGTACACATCTAGGACAAAGCGAGCGAATGAGAAAACAATACATCACTGTCATCTTGCTGCAAACACGCACGCATGTCACTACCCAAATCAAAGGCTGTTGACGATGGTGGTGCGAGGTTGCCCCGAAAGCAAAATTTGCTGCAGCACCATTTTATGACACAACTTCTAAGCTATGACAAAGAACCCAAACATTGTGTACTATTTTATGTTTGAAAACGTATTTATTTTCTTGCACAGCTTCAAAGCCCCGTCTTTTAGCTGCCACTGACGTGTACATTCGGGCGGCGAATGCGTAGCCTTCAATATCCACGTTTTATTTTTTCATACGGATGCGTCGTTACGGCAATGTTTCGACAATTTTGAGATCAAATTTATTACATGTTCATCATAGATATAATTAGGAAGTCAGGGAAAGTGGGGGACGTTCAGTTTTCGACACTTCTCGCCCCTTTTTATGTCTATTTGATTATTTTTCAAATAGGCCAAATCTAGAACCGAAATTATCTCAAATGAAGCGGCGTTGGCGCATACTTAATATGAACTTTCTTTTAGAGCTGTAATGCCGAATTCCAATTTAAATGATGTTTTAACACTGCCTTTTCAGTGGTAGGTTGACAGTACGTATGGAGCCAATGCAATCTTATTTCAGCTACCTTCGATTCGCAATTTGGCTCCGTTCAAAATAAAAGAAACTCCTCATTTGAATCACCAGGTATGCAACCACAGGCAGAAATGTACCGACAGATGGATCGGTCCCCCTTCTTTTTTCCTTCTATCCACCCGTCCTGCATAAATTCAAGCAATGCCCCTCCTGTGCTATCAGCTGCTCTTAAATAACATTAAACTATTCAGCAATCGCTGATGAGAACCTGAGAAATATGTCCTTTTTACCTATGCAGGAGCTATGAAGCTTACTTTCATTTTATGCTCTATATGTTGTGCAGGTGGTATACCTGTGTATTGCAACGCTTTGCTAAGGAGTGTGAATTACAATGGCGCAATTAGTCAACTGCTTTTCCCCTTCCTGTGGTACGGGTGCAGTGCGCTAGTGTCGTCTGCGATCGTTCACGCGTATATTGTACGACCATTAAGCATTCCAATGAAAGTAAAAAACAGTAAGTGCCCGCAGAGTTGTGCGTCCCATTGGACAAGCCCACTTGTGCTTAGGAAGTATGCGTCAAACCTGTGGTGCGGCGTGCCATGCATTCACAGCAGCCGCTGCAGAGTGAGCTCAGCCAGTTCTGTGTAAACTTGCTTAGTTTTATGGTAATACGTACGTTGTATGGTCTCACTTTGAGCTGATTCATGATAATTTGTCTAAATAGAACTCACTAAAAGGATAAGCGACTTAGGCATTCATGTTAAATTCTTCAGGGTGAAAAAATTATGTGCATCTCATTGTAAATTGAACAGGTGCTCGCATACAAGATGTTTAGTGTGATTTCAAATGAGAAAGCGCGTATGATAGATACCCTGTCGAAAACAGTGTGTAATCGTTTCAAGTTTTGTTTAAGAAAATATAATCGCATTTATGGTTATTTCGGTGAGAATGAGTGATGAGTGGACAGTCCACGAGAGGCAGCAAAATACTTTGATAAAAATCACACAAAGTCAACCCATGAATTTAGTTGTTCAACAGGTGAACGATTTCGTTAATATTGCAATTAGGAGGTGGTATAATAAATGTGGTACCTAGCGCGGCATATGTCGGCGAATTGAACGCGAAATAGAAAGAAATGCTGAAACACCAACCTTTTCATCGAAACGTTTCGATACAGTCTTGTTGCATTCGTTCACTTGTGATTTGTTTTGGTGCTCCAAAAGTATATAGGTGCAACAGTAAGGTCAACACCCTTTGGTGTATTTTGTTAGCATACACCTTAATTACACACGGAAATAACACACAAAGGAAGAGTTTAATTGAAATTACACTCTTTTAGCTATACTTGGCAAAATAAAGGGGCGTACAATAGGTGGTTTCTCAAATATACACCCTCAAAGTTGTGAAACGGCTTGCAGTGTAGCAAACTATGCCTTTCCCGCCATCAGTGGGAAATTCGGGCGACTCATAAGAGCTCGGGTGATTCCACTTGTAAGCAGCACGCAGGGCTCTACGATCGGATCTTCCTTCATGCATTGAAAATCTACCGAGACACAAAAGGGCTTGAAAATAAGCGTCCTTATCATTTTTTCTATTATGCACCTCGTCCTGGACTGATCGGCGTCTATATTTATTTTCTTTTTAATATTGAAGAAAAATTCAAAATTTCACTTCATTTCATATCAAATTTAACTAATATGACAATAACGCACAGTTGCCGTTTTCATTTTAGATGTAAATGGAAGTGCCAACAGCGTTGACAGATGTGCGATGCTCACCACCTCTTCCTGTCGCACACAGAAATGTCAGCGCTGCGAGTGCAGTGGCCCACAGGATGCGATCCCAGAAGGCAAGTGACACCTTGGCCAGATTACCGTGTTCTGTTCCGCGCGTCCACTCGAAGCGGTAGAAGATGCACGCCGTGCCAAGACCCAGAGAGACAGCCCACAACGCTGCCTCCATGGCCTGCATAATGAAGAACAATGAGTACAGTCAGGCCAAGAGACAGTTTACCGGCAATCTCCGGGATGAAATTTTTAGACAGTCAAAAGTCCGACGAAATCTCGTCTGGTCGGGGACAAACATAGTGCAAAGTAACAAACAAAAACGCCGACCAAGGTGAAATACACAAAAGTTAAAAGGACGTTTCGGCTCCCCACTTGGGAGCCTTTTTCACAGTCACAGTTCTGTTCACAGTTACTTTGCACTACGAAATTTTACTTCATGGCACATACAAAAGGGGCAGATATCATATTATACCTGTTGTAGCAGGTTGTAGGAACATCTACAACCTGCTCCTCGACCTACGGCGGCCATACATCAACAACTGGCTGGAACACGCGCCACAACCAGAGGCGGGGGCGTACGAGCTTCGGGAGACGCCATCCTACTCCCAAGCACTGTGGCGTGACTCTTCCGATGCCACCTGTCGAGGCGGCAAAGAGAAGAATATGAACCCAGCAGCCCCAGAAACAGCTGCTGCCCGTTCTCCAGGCCAGCATACCCCCTCACCGAGTGCACAACTGCCATCACGCTTGCCACGGCTGTCGTCGACGCCTACAACACACACCCCGGAAACGGTAACGAAGGGTAATCCGGGCCAACAACAACGGCCAGCTGTACCAAAATCAACAGCAACGAGTGGCCAGAATAAACCACCAGCAAGGAAAAATCAGCAGCCAACATCATCAACGAACAAGCAGCAACCACCAGAAGACAACAGCAGGCGTCTACAGGCCAGCTCGTCACGGGAGGCACAACGGGATGGAGCTCCAACCCAAACCAGGTACGACCTCCGGGCACCTTGCGGCCCTATTCGCCGCGTCTGTGCAAAGTGACATACTGGCTGTGCGAGTGGGCAAAATCCGTCCGTTTCAGATGAACTAGGCCATAGAACGGGTCCAAATTTTCTTAAACTTAGAAAAGTGGTTGACAAAATAATACGGCACGAACTTCACGTGCAAAGCCTCGAGCAATATGTACTGGCGCGTACGGCTCCGAAGGGGCTGCGCTTGTCGCTAACACCATCGATGCATAACTTTGCCGAAGGGGAAATGAAACGGTGGAACGAAATTCTCGATCACGCCACACAGGAGCTAACGAAGGTCACCATCGAACACTGTAGAAAGACTCTAAACGCACTGACAGACGAGGAGCGGTATTTAAGAAATAACGTTTCTCTTTCGGAGTGGAAAACTAAAGAACTAGACGTATTTGAGCACAAAAAACGGAGGAAATTGAAAAACTTAAGAGGAAGAAATTTGCGCGGGACAATGTGTCACAAGCTATACCCACTGCTGCTTACAGAAAAAATACCAAATCATCTCACGTTCGAAAAAATTTGCCACCACACCCCAAAGAGCCAAACGTTATTAACCTTTCCGACAAAGAACTTAGCAAAGAAGAATTGAGTATACTATCACGCGGACTTACATTCTGCCCTGGCAACGGAAGGTATGATGAATTCACGCTCCTAAAAGACCTAGACAACTTCGCACAAAATTTACGATTGGAGGAATATTTCTTTGATAAACCCGAAAAAGATAACGCACTTTTTCGTGGGGTAATCAGACGGCAATGGACCCCAGACGCCAACAGAGATCGACATCTGGATCTCTATATAGACGCGGTTCAAAAAGATGTTATACATGCGTAAAAAGTGCACAAACCAAGCATGAATAACATATCAAAAAGAGAAAAAGAGGCACTACTCACGTTGAGCAACTGAGAAGATCTCGTCATCAAACCAGCAGACAAAGGAGGCGCAATTGTTGTTCTGAATAGATCGGACTACATTGAGGAAGGCAAACGACAACTAAATAACAAACAATTCTACAAACACCTCGACTTTGACCCTACCACGGAGCACAAAAAAATCATTGTAACAACCCTAGAGAATCTCACACGTGAAGGCGCCATTAATTCAAAGCTTAAAAAGGCACTTATTACGGTACATTCGGCGCCAGGTCGTTTTTACATGCTGCCGAAGATTCATAAAGAGAATAACCCTGGCAGACCCATTATATCAGGCACGGGAACGTTAACGGAACCCATTTCCAGTTATATTGATTCTTTAATCAAAGACATACCACCCACACATGAGTCCTTCTTGCGTGACACAAACTACTTCCTTCGGGAAAGTGCAGACCTGAAAATTCTAGACGGTCCATTTCTCGTAACATTGGATGTTAGCTCACTCTACACAAATATCCCACATGACGATGGTGTAAGGGCACTTGTTGAATCGTATGGCACACACAACCCTGTCGGTTATCCAAGCAAAAAAGTAATTGAAATCTTCACAAGACTTGTACTCGATTTGAACAGCTTTGAATTTAACAACCAGTACTATCTTCAAATCAGCGGTACGGCAATGGGTACAAGTATGGCCCCAAACTACGCTAACATATTAATGCACCACATAGAGTCCAATTTTCTTTCATCTTGTAATATCAAACCATTACTCTATAAATGGTACCTAGATGATATATTCATAATTTGGACACATTCGGAAAACGAGCTCCTCAAATTCATACAGGCATTCAACCAGGTACACCCCTGCATTTATTTTACACACACCTACTCTAACACTGAAATAAACTTTCTTGATGTACTCATTCGAGTTGACGATGGCGCGTTGGTAACTAACGTATACAGAAAACCTACAGACAGGCAACAATACCTGCACTTCAAAAGCTGCCACCCGCGACATTGCAAGACCAGCATTCCCTATTCCCAAGCACACAGATTTCGACGAATCTGCTCCCGCACCGAGGACTTCCACAAAAACAGCACACATATGCGCGAAGTACTCCTTAATCAAGAATACCCGCCAGCTATCATCGATGACGCCATCAAAAAAGCTGAAAATCTGGACCGCCGGATTCTTCTCAACCGCCAGAGAAACGCTGACCAACACCGCAACAAAAACTTGCTATTAACTTTCACGAGCAACCCACCGAACATAAACAAAGTCCTAAGAAAACACTTTAACATATTGGAACAGAGCGTGCGACTATCCAAAATTTTCACTTCTCCTCCTTGTGTTGTATACAAAAGGCCGAAAAATATAAAGGATCATTTATAGATTCAAAGATAGGTGTGAAACCTCAAATTGGGTGTCACCCTTGCGGAAAAAGCAGATGCAGGATATGCAAACACATGCAGACAACGACACTGGCGAAAAGCACCCACTCGGACTTTAAGCACAGGATAAGAGGTGCACTAGACTGTGACTCAGACAACGTCATATACCTCCTGGAATGTGGGGTATGTAACAAGCAATACGTGGGCTAGACAGAAACTCTGTTTAGAATTAGATTCAACAACCATCGGGCACATGTACGATCTCTGCCAGGCCTTCCACTTTCAAAACACTGCACATTAAAAGACCACAGCTTTGATGACATCAGGGTTACACTACTAGAAAACAACTTTCGAGCAGTCAGAGAACGGGAACAACGGGAATCTTATTTTATCTACAAATTTAACACGATAAAATACGGAATAAATGAACACCCAGGCACTCTGTCTGCGTTACGACCGCTAAAAGACGCAAACGCTTCTCTCTAATCAGTCCGGTTTCCTTACGACAATAATATTACCCGCTAACAAAGCTTTTGGCCTATGCATCTGACAACATAGAAATGATTTGCCTCATCAAGCACAGCCGGAACGCACAGATAAGTGGTCCCGGATGTCGTACGGTCCCCCCCCCTTCTTTTTTTTCTTTTTTTTTTCTTTTTCTTTCTCTTCTTTAAGTTGCAACGCACATTCTGTTCCTTCACTGACAAGGAGCTGACAGCTAGGTGGTTTCGTTAACTTTTTCGTGCATGCGCGCAAGTCTTCCCAGTGAGCCGCAACTGTGTGGTGACTGTCTCGAATGTCCTACAGTCTCCCCCCCCCCCCCTGTTTTTTTTTCTTTTTTTTCCTTCTTTAATTTTTAACGCACATTCTGTTCTTTCACTGACAAGGAGCCAATGCATATAATGAATATCGATGGCGGCACCTCATTCACCGGCTTTATCGCTCCTCCCGACGCCACCAGCATGCACTTAAAGCGCTTAAGCCCTCCCCATTAACTTGTCATACACTTCAAAGAGGAACGAGCCGCCAGCAGACTACACGGAAAGATGAAATACAAAAACGGCGGCTCCCTGCCCACTTGGGGAAGTGTGGGCGCGGGGGAGGTATTGTTGACAATGATGACATTCCTCATCTACCTCTGCCCTACTCTGTTGAAATGCTGCCCCTTTCTAATTACGCCGTGTCGGTCTTGCTTCTTCTCCTAGATTTTCTATATTTTATTTAATGTTTGTCCTCCCGTTTCGCTGTTTCTTCTTTTTTTTTCTCTCTCTCTCTCTCTCTCAATTGACTCCCCCCCTCCTGTCTCGACAGGATATAAAAAGGCACGGAACATGAGTAAATAGAATTATGCCTCGAAAAAGACAGGGTTCCTGTCGAAACGTCGGCACAATAAACAGTTGTTATGTGAAAGCGCATCTACTTTCATATTTATAACCTTGCGGCAACCGAAGTTATTCTTCTGCATTAATATATATATATATATATATATATATATATATATATATATATATATATATATTTATATAGGCAGACATGGCGGTTGAGTTTGATTGATATGTGGGGTTTAACGTCCCAAAACCTCTGATGATTATGAGAGACGCCGTAGTGGAAGGCTCCGGAAATTTCGACCACCTGGGGTTCTTTAACGTGCACCCAAATCTGAGCACACGGGCCTACAGCATTTCCGCCTCCATCGGAAATGCAGCCGCCGCAGCCGAGATACGAACCCGCGACCTTCAGGTCAGCAGCCGAGTACCTTAGCCACTAGACCACCGCGGCCGGGCTTGGCGGTTGAGTGGCTGTAGCGTTGCATATAGTCAAGTAGATCCTCCATGAGCGGTCACAACGTGGTTTATTTCGACGTTTCGGCCTAGAGTCTG